ACAACCTAAAGTTTAATATTCTACAATAATTCAAGATTTCTAACGTTTCACACCCTAAAGTTTTAAAATCTTACAAAAATTCAAGTTCTCTAAAGTTCACAACTTAAAGTTCTAAAATCCTACAAGAATTCAAGATTTCTAACGCTCACAATATTATAAAGTTCTAAAATCCTACAAAAATTCAAGTTCTCTAAAGTTCACAACTTAAAGTTTTAAAGTCCCACAATAATTCAAGATTTCTAAAGTTCACAACCTAAAGTTCTAAAATCCTATAATAATTCAAGATTTCCAAAGTTCACTCACAACTTAAAGTTCTAAAATCCTACAATAATTCAAGATTCCTAACATTCACAACCTTATGAAGTTCTAAAATCCTACAAAAATTCAAGTTCATATCTAATTTCTAGAATTTCTAAGTTCAAGAATATAATTCAAGTAACCCAATTTTCAACAACAATATAATATATAAGCACAAATACAATGACAAATTGAAAAATTCAACTAATCTCTAACTTCTAACTTCTAATTATTTGTTAGTTCTAACTTCTAATACTTAATTTACAATCATATTTAAAAATCCTCAATTTAAAAGACAACTAATCCTAAAATCTAAAAGCTTCAATTCTCGGCTAGCTTCTAATTATTTGTTAGTTCTAACTTCTAATACTTAATTTACAATCATATTTAAAAATCCTCAATTTAAAAGAAAACTAATCCTAAAATCTAAAATCTTCAATTCTCTCCCTAACTAACAATAATCAAATGTACAAATTAACAATTGAATAACACAATTCTTCAAACTAAAAAAATATACAAACTAAGAAATCAAATATAATTACTAGAATTGAAAAAAAAACTAAAATTAAACTCTAAATTTAAGTTCTCAAAAGTTCACAACTTAAAGTTCTAAAATCCTACAATAATTCAAGATTCCTAACATTCACAACCTTATGAAGTTCTAAAATCCTACAAAAATTCAAGTTCATGTCTAATTTCTAAAATTAATTCTATATAAACTTCAAATTCAAGAATTTCTAAGTTCAAGAATTCAAGTAACCTAATTTCAACTTTCATATATTATATATCCAATATTTTTCTAACTTTAAAGTAATCTAACTTTCATGTACAATCTAATATTTTTCTAACTTCAACTTTTAAAAAAATAAAATTCAAGAACTTCTAAGTTGAAAATTCAACTAATCTAATTTCGACTTCATATACTAATATTTTTGTAACTTCAAAGTAATCTAACTTTCATATACAATTCAATGTTTTTCTAACTTCAACCGTCAAACATACAAAATTCAAGAATTTCAAAGTTGGAAAATGCAACTAATCTAACTTCTAACTTCTAACTTCTAATTATTTGTTAGTTCTAACTTCTAATACTCAATTCACAATTATATTTTTTTTTTTAAAACAATTTAGAAGAAAACCCTAAAATCAAAAATCTCCAATTCTCTCCTAACTAACAATAATCAAATATAGAAGTTAGCAATTGACTAACATAATTCATCAAACTAAAACAATATACTAATTTATAACAAATAAAATATTACTAGAATTGAAAAAAAACTAAAATTAAATTCTAACCTTAACAAGCTAAGGAAAAGAGGCAGTGAGGACGACGGGTGGCGGCGCCGACGGGGTAAGGCGATGACGGGACTAATGCTCAAGGAGAGAAGGGCGAAGGCGGTGTGGGGCGGCGGCGGCGCAATAGCTTGATTTTAGAGAGAAGGGAGAGAAGAGAGAGAAAGAGAGATGGGAAAATGGGGGGAAAACCCGTTTTTGGTTCAACTTAATTTAAAAAAAGCGACGGACAATGTCTCTTTGTCCGTTGCTTTTTTAAAAATATTTGACCAAAATTTTGACTAAAAAAGCGACGGACTAAGAGACGTTGTCCGTCGCTTTTTAAAAATATTTGACTAGAATTTTGACCAAAAAGCGACGGACTAAGAGATGCCGTCCGTCGCTTTTTTAAAAAACTAATTAATAAAATAAAGTAAATTAAAAATGAAGGACAACATGATTATTGTTTAATTTATAAATAATTATTTTTATTAAAAAGCGACGAATAGCGTCTCTATATATATTAAATAAATAATAATTAATTATGTATATATTTAGGGCAAAAATCCGCGAAAAAAAGCCACGGACTAAAAGATGTTGTCCGACACTTTTTTGTAAAATAATTTTAAAAATAATTATTTTTATTAAAAGCGACGGACGGCATCTCTTAGTCCGACACTTTTTTGGAGCGACGCTGTCCGTCGCTTTTTCTTCCGTCGTTTTTTAGCAGTTTTTTAGTAGTGTATAGAGGAAATTAGGCCGCTACAGCGGGCTGCACGAAATTCAAAGTTATTTTCAGACCTAAAACGTTATTTTACTCCCAAAACTCATCCAAGGTCATGCTTGGGCAAGGGAGGAGTGATTTATTCAGTTTTTCAGATTTTCTTCTTCAAGGTAAGTCCTTCCATCAATCTAACACTCGTGTGATTCTTTAGTCCTTAGAAAATATAGTTGTGGTCCTAGGAGATGGTTTGAATTCATTCTAAGGTAGGGAATATCCTATTTTATGAGGATTTTAGGATGTAAGACCTTGGGCTAATCTTAAGAATGTTTATTTTTGATTTATTTATCATATATTACTTGTATAACCATGAAATTTATAATTCTAGGTGAATTATTGGTGGCAAAGCCTTGGAATGGGTGGAAAAATCATATGAGGTTGGCCTAAGATTTGAGATTTGAATATAATCTAGAAATATTTAGGCCATTTGTGATTGATTTTGTATTATACTATTATTTTAGACCAAGAACAAACTAAAGTTTCACAAAAGAAGTCAAGATTCGCGATCAGACTTCTGCAGTAATTGTTTAATAATAATTTAATATATACTTTATATACTTATATACCTAGGGGTAAAAGTGAAAGCATCATAATTCCTAACGGATTAACGGTTTATCCAATAAGGAATTGAATAATTCATCCCCGAACTGATAAGGAAATTGAGTAATCCATCATCCGAGAAATAGTTAATTGTAAAAAATGTATCCGTTTCTCAATCATTTACCTGATAACCCAATACAAATAAGTTAATAAATTAACTTTGTAATTACTAACTTTTTTATTATGGTTAAATTTCAAGTACCCTTACTATAATGCTATATAATGCTTACTTACTATATTCCCTTAGTTAAGAGACGTTGAGAAGATAATCCAAACCTGAGAAGTTTTGGCTTAATTTAAACTAGTAGGAGAGGATAAGATGAAAACAAATTTTATGGGTGGGGTTTGCTTTAGGGAAAAGGAGATGAAATAAATGTCAAACTTAAATGATAGGTTGTTGGATATAAAGTCTGAGGAGATGAGTGGATAACCCAATAAAGCACATAACATTATTGTAGAGAACTTATGGACATTAATGTCTCATTCAATCATATCCAAATAATTAACGTGAGGCTCCACCTTAATTATATTCTAGTAGACCAGTACCATGCTTATGTTTCATCTCAATTATTGTGAGATAGTTAAAATTTCTTCATAATTAATCAAACGGTAATGCTAAATGGCCAGAAAATTTGGTCAGAATTTGGCCAGAAAAATAAAAAATCTATTATATCTTTTTTATTTTAAAATAAATTAATCTTTTTTCCATTTTTTAGTTAAAAAGTATTGAAGTTAAAAGTATAAAAATGTTCAAAAAGGTAAAATAGCATTAATAAAATATCATTCTGGTCAAATTCTGGCCAAGAGGATTTTTCCTTAATTAAAAATATTGAATTTGAGTCATGAATGCAAAAATAATATTGTTATGAACGCTATTGTTGCTCCCAAGGGTCATGCAATGCGTGGATTTGAATTAATTGAAGTTATATACGAATATCAGATATTGAGTAAAAAATCAAATTAATACATGAGACTACTCCCGCTGATTCATTATAAGTGGTATTTTAAATTTGGACACATGACCCTTTACACTTTGTTTAGATGATTGTTATGTATTTGATTAATCATGTAGCATATTGTATAGTATTGTATCGTATTATTTTAATTAATCTTATATTCGGATAGATTGTATCATTTTTTGTCGTTTCATAATGTCACACACGCCAATTTGAAGGATTATTAAATAATAAGTAAATAAAAAATAAAAAAAGGTAACGACACAATCATACTGAATCAATTGTTACACAAAATGAGACTTTTTATCGGTACCTAACGATAAATTTAACGATACAATACAATAAAATTTAAATAACAATAAAATAAATATTTTATTTAATCTTGCAATACAATACAATAAGTAACAACTACCTAAACAAGTTGTTAAGAAATCTATTCACCTCTACAAAATAAGAAATATTTTTATTTATTTTTAATTAAATAATACACCCTCTCTCTCATATTACCTATTCACATTACTAAAAAAAAGTTGTCTCATATTTCTTATCCATTTACAAAACTCAAGATTGAATTGATTAATTTGTTTTCCTTTAAAATTAATTCTTTTAAAAGTATAAATATTGTAAAGTTTCAAAAAAAGTTCTTCTATTATTAATCTAGATATTCATGGATACAGAACATAAATCATTGTATTAAAAAGGGTTAAAAGGTAAATTGATTTAAGAAAAATATACTTCGTATTTATGATTTCTTAAAGAGTATGTATACCAAAAAAAAAATAGACAAATAATATAAAATAGAATAGGTAGCTATTTGATATCTTTCTTGATTACATAAAATTCTACTTATCGAAATAGAATAAATTAAAAAGAAGACAATTGATACCTCCATAATAACGAGAAACACTAATACTTATTTTGAATCAAAATAAAAAGTAAAAACACCACTTACTATATAATAAAAAGAATAATAAATAATTACTTTAATTCCAAGTCAGTTTCGACCCGACTCCTTTAATATGTGTGGATAACATCTTACCCTATTGTTCGCATATTGTTGAGCACTATAATAAAAAGGATAATTTCAAAAGCACACAATTAACTAATTTATTTTACAAAAATAAGTTTAAAATTTACATTACAAATTTTAGCCCAAAATATAATAACTTATTTTTGATTAAAAAAAAAAGAAAAATATTCTTATCGTTATAACAGTCTGCAAGCAATTCATGTGATCTTCCTTTCACTATTTCATTATATTCTAACGAGAAAATGGTCTAAAACCCCCCAACCTATACCCGAAATCTCAACTACATACTCTAACTTTACAGGTGTCCTATTACCCACCTGAAATTTTTATTTCTCTATTTTATACACACCTGAGTGCTGACCTCAACACATAAACCAAATAATTAGGCCTGCGTGATTTCACGCGCTGGGTCCCCCGCCTCTTCAACTCCCATTTGTTGTTTTTTCCCTCATTTCCCTCTTAAAACGTAAAAGAACAAAAAAAAAATCTCATTTTCAATCCTTCTCCATTAGCAATGCGCTCTGGTAACGAAGAGCGCAGGTTGACAGTTCCACTAAAATGGCCATAGCGCCGCCAGCGACGGTCAGACGACCTTCAGACCAATGCGAAAATATACCCATGGAGGAGATGGATATTCTCAAAAAAAATCCTCTTTTCTCATTTTCAATCCTTCTCCATTAGCAATGCCCTCTGTAAACTAAGAGCTTAGGTTGACAATTCCACCGGAATGGCCATAGCGCTGCCGGCGACGGTCAGACGACCTTCAGACCAATGCGAAAATATACCCATGGAGGAGATGGATATTCTCCAACAAGAATCACCTTCAAATTCCAACCACAGCTCCTCGAATTTGAATTACAATCCAGCGATCACTGTTCATCTTTCGGAGAAGGAGTTAAAGTGGGAGCAAGAAATTATTTCCCTAGCCAAATCTGGAGTGATTCAGATCGTTCCAGTTGATGGAATGGAATCTACACCTCAAAATCTACCTAATACTACAAAATCACAACATTCTATCTTACCGTTTGAGAGATCTGCTTAGGTGATTTTGGAGGGAGAATCGCCAAAATTGCCTCTCAACTCAAACAGAGTTTCGCCGGCGATAACTGAGATTCAGGGGAAACAAATCACTATGATGGAATCCCCTCAGCCCAGCGCACCCAATTATGTAAGTAAAATCGATATGAACAGAGGTTGTAATTCAGGCGAACTAGCCGGAGCTCAGGCAAACAAAATTTTGGAAGTCTGCTCAAAATTTTGGGTCCCGAATTTAATTTCGACCAAGAAGTTTGCAAATTCAGCAAAATTCCGTGTTTGCATCTCACTACAACGTTGAGCATTGGGTCTGATTCATCCATACAAAGCTTATTCAAGTTTTCATTTGCCATTTTTGATGAATTTCGAGAAAATTCAAAATTCAAATTAGAGACCTAAATAAGAAATTAGAACAGATTACAAACCTTAAATTCAAGATTTGAAGTAGAAATGAACATTAACAACTAAACCCTACTTAATTTTGAGAGGAAATTGTGATTTATTTATAAAAGGAACAAGGGTTAATGATGGGGAAGAAGAAATAATGGTTTATTTAAAGGTGGGGAAGATGACCGTTGGAGAAGGAGGATTTTTCGTCAAAATTAACCTTCTAACGCGCCTAGAGGAGGTGAGAACACCTCCCATGACAGGTCAACACTTAGGTGTGTATAAAATAGAGAAATAAAAAGTTCAGGTGGGTAATAGGACACCCGTAAAGTTGGAGTGTGTAGTTGGGATTTCGGGTATAGATTGAGGGGTTTTAGACCATTTTCTCTATTCTAATAATAGTGTTTAATTATATATAAGAAAAACAACATTGTACCTCGATATACAATAATATACAAAACTTTTTTTACAACAATATTTAAAATTATGATATACAATATCATATGCCCAATATACAACATTATATAAATTATAAGGGGTGTTTTGTCACAACCCTAACCCACCCAAACTATAATATCTTATTGGGAAAATTACGCGGTTAAGCAAATTTATACTACTTAATTAGTCATCATAGCTATAGTTTGGTATAATTACCACTCGTGACTAACATTAACCATTAATTATGTGGGCTGACTTCGAGTTTGTATAATTATTCACGTTTGTATAATTCGCCACATATGTATAATTCGCAACAAATAATTCTTCGTTTGATTTGTATTTGTATACGATGATTTGTATATGTAAATGACGATGATTTCCTTTGGTTTTTCAGTTTTATCATCATACACATTCAATCTTTTTTGTATAACTTTTTAAAGTTTGTATAAACGTGTAGTTTTCAGATTTCGTATAGTATAATTTATATAATATAATTTGTATAACTGTTTTAAAGTTCATATGCTTATGTTTGTATCAATTCGTTATTTCGAGTTTTTATCATATTTGTATAATTTCAGACTTTGTATTACTCAATTATACAAAAAACACGTGAATTATAAAAAATGTACCCGCGAATTATACAAACGAGATGTGAATTATACAAATTATTGCCCTCTCTCGCTCGCCTCTTTCCTCCCTCTCCCAATCTCGCTCGCCTCTCTCCTCCCTCTCCCAATCTCGCTCGCCAGATATACAAATACATATGTATACCAGCTACATATATACAATTCTCTAACTGATATACATATACAATTCACCTCTCTCCCACTCTCTACCCTCTCTCGCTCGTCTCTCTCCCCCTCTCCCAATCCGCTCGTCACTCTCCTTCCTATAAAATGTAGCTATGAATCATAATTAGCAAACTATAGCTATGAAGTGTAATTAAACTATTTTTTACTGGTTATATGCGAAGTTCCCTAACTTATTTTTGATAAAAAAAAATTATCGTTATAACAGCCTGCACACTATTTGATTATATAATGTTGTTTATATATATATATAT